TATTATGGGTGATACATAACTACTATTTTTGGCCCAGGACTAAAAAGCATTGCTTGTGAGTCTAAAACAGAGCTCTATGCACGCTCCTTCATTCAAAACTTACTGTCTCCTTCTCCCCCAACTCAAAAAAGCCAATCTCTTTCCCTGACCCCCAGTCAGCAAGAGGGTGGGCTGTGTGACCTGTGATCTTCAGTGGTACACTGAGGTGGGATCCGTCCCTAGCCCTACTGCTAGCAGAATGGGTCAATTCACCTGTGAGTGTGGGGTCAGAGGCAGGGAGAATGTAAGCAATCCTGGCATCCTACAGTTCCCTGGGCTGGGCATCCTGAAACGTGTGTCGGACGGCTAAAGGACATGCACACAGATCCTTCCCTTCTCCAATCCCCACCAGTGGGCAAGCAGGACAAGCTCTTCACTCCATCCAGGAAGTGACAGCCTCCTCAGAAGGCTGGGGACTATGCTGGAGCTCCTCTTCTCTCTCCCACCTCCCTAAAGCCACCACCACACACGGGGGGAGCGGGGGGTGTTCACTCCAAACCATGCCCATTGGCACTGGATTTAGACCTGCATGCCACCCCACACCTAGCAGTTTGGAACCTCTGGACGATCCAAATGAGCACTGCTGAGTATCAGAGCTCAGGAAATCTATGCTCAAACTGAAGAAAGATGTGCTAGCCTTTCACCCCGGACCAGCTGGGCAGCAACCACACATGTATGGCTCAAACCAGTGCGACTCCAAATGTAGTCTCCAATTTAAAAAACTTAACTATGTGGAACTAGACTATTTCTTTTCCCACAAGACTAGTAGTAGTTTCACTGTAAAAACCCAGGGTGCCCCCCCCAGGAGTTAAGATTAAAACAAAGAAATATTGAAAATGGATCGGCTCTGGATGTGCAGACCAATGTGTCTCACCAGGATCAAAGGAAGTAAGTCTCCATCAGGCAAACTTCCTGTGCACTTTGCTTTTGGAGAACACCTTTGCTTTGGAAGACCATGGTGCCTGTCAGACAGGCACAGTCCTGTGGTCTCTAGTGCAGCTTCCTAGCTGTGGTGAATGGCTGGAAGGACAGCACAGAAGTCCTGACCTTCCTGAGATACAAAAGTGGCAGGGGCATCACTGTCATAGAAGGTGCTGGAAACAAACTTAAGAGACAAAGGCCATCCAGGGTACAAGGAAATCAATATGCTACCTGGGAAGCAGCTATGATTTGAAATAAGTTTTATTTTAATCAAATCCATTTAAGTCAAGTTATAAGTTATTAAATAGAATGAACTGATTTAATCAGCTTTTTATAGAAAAATGCATTTTTCTTCCAAAATTCAGGTGCATGTAATTTCATTTTCAGACGACAAATTTTCTATACTTAAAGAAGTAAATGTATAGAATCCACACTCAGAAGAGTATCCCCCAGACTGCTAGAAGAATCAGTGCAAACAACAAAACTACTCTGATATTTTCGATTTGCTCTCAAGACTTCTTTTATCTCTGAAGTTGCTCTGATTGCCTAGATTACATTATTCTTAAGACTTATCTATTCATTTGTCTGCTTGACACTTAGTACTTCTAGAAAGAAAAGCCAAAAAGAATGGTTATCTTATCTCCGTAGAATGCTATCAACAAACACTATTTCCACAAATAAAATCCCTGGATGGGAAAGAGAAACCATTGTTTCTAGAATGTGTGGTAGAATTGCTTTTAATGTCTCACCATGTATCAAATGGCTTCTACTTCCTTTTGCTACCCTTTCATTGGCTGTCATTCACTCATTTGGGCCTGCAGCTGACGTTTTTGAAGGCTCTGCTCTGACTAGACATTAGCACAGATCATGACTCTGTCTGACAAAAGCCTTCAGTTCCACAAGGAACAGCTCCTACAATAACTCCACAATTACAACGGCAGGTTTGAAAACACCCATAGCCATCAGCCATGAACTTGGGTGGGGGTGTCATGGGATAGCTCTTTGGGCACTGCTTTCTTACATCGTACTCATAAAATGTTCCAGAAGAAGGCACACAAATACATTGACTTAAATATTATATCCATTCCAAGGTAAAGTGCACTATGGGAAAAAAAGGTGGTTCTGGATGCAGACAGACCTCACTGAAATTCCTGATAAAATCACAGTACCTGGAACAGCTCATAGTGGGGGGTCATGTCCCCATGGGTAGGCACTGCTAGGTCAGTATAATATGCACAAAGCACACTATTCAATTAGCTACTGACATCAAGTAATTCAGAACTGATGTGGACTTATGTGTGAGCATCAGCATTTAAAATAAAGTTCACTTCCCATACAGAGTTCCATCTTCACAAAATCCACAACTAGAAGAAACCAAAATATCCATTTTACAGACAAACACTATGATGCCCGTGGCGTTTCTCTGCTCACAGGGTTATCAGGAACCAGTTGTTTATAGCATGGAGGAACTCCTGTACCAGACTGACTATGGCATGCATAAACATCGTCAAAAGGAAGAGCCGGTACACTGAGCTCACCGCCCTCGAACAGTGATTGGGAAAGAGTCTGAATTAAGGTTTTGCAAAGGGTGAACTCTCTTAAGGCATTAAGTGATTTTCAAGTCATTAGGTGCTTGACTGAGGGTACAGGCAGAGCCCATTAGAGGCAGCTAGAATTCGCTTTACCATCGAAGAAGTATTTCCTACCTCTGACTCAGCACCCTTTATTCTGTAAACCCCACAATGTGGTCAGTCAGACCCTGCTCACCACATGGCTGGAGACTTGGGCGCTGGCCACGTACTTGCAGGGGCAGCAAGCAAAGCCTGGCCTTCCAGGAGCCCCCTCTCCCCAGGAGACCCTATTGAGAATGCGGTAGCCCGTGACCAACAGCCCTTTCCCCAGTTTGGTACAATCCCTACATCAAAAGGTTAAAAATGCATATGGTTTGTGTTTCTAAATTCAAAACAAAGACAATTTTACTTAGTTCTGAAAGGGGGCCAGGGAGGAAGGGAACAGAGGGAGGGAGGGACGGAGGGAGGGAGGGAGGGAGGGACGGAGGGAGGGAGGGAGGGAGTGTGTGTGTGTGTGTCACTTGTCTCACTGTGTATTACGGTTTGGCCTAGAACTCAGAGATCCACCTGCTTCTGCCTCTGCCTCCTAAGTGCTATGATTAAAGATGTAAAACACTGGGTTCATCTGGCCCACTTTAGTGGTGGGGAAAAATGAAGTTACAAGAGCAATAACTAGCCCAAGGTCTTACAGAGAGTTAAAAACTGAAACAAGGGTTAACTCCTTCACCCTTCACTCGATCCCACATACCAAGCCCTACTGTCTGCCTGGGATAAGGGACCCAGAGTAAGCTCCCTGTAGTTACTATCCACGGGGTCAAGTCCTGAGAGAGCAGGGAAAGCCCACAGCCTGGGTTATATCACACGTCTCCTGGGCAAGCCCTGAGGTGTCTTTGGGCACCCAGAGGTCCCTTCTGCTGTGAGCCTGGCCTGACTGATGAAGGTCACAGTGGACTGACCTTCCATAAGGGACAGTCTTTTCAACTCCTGACACCAAGTGCACAGATTTCCAAATGGCGTCCTCTGTCTTGTCTCAACTAGAGACTTTCATTTCCCTAAGACCCTTGTATGTAGGAGCTGAAAAGCTCATGAACGAAGGAGATCACAGAAACAAATTCTGCAGCGGCCAGAGGCCTGCATAAGAGGGTCAGGATTGCTGTAGATGAGTGTTTCAATGACGGCTCTAGATCAGCGGTTCTCACCCTTCCTAACGCTGCGACCCTTTCAACAGTTCCTCATGTTGTGATGACCCCAACTATAAAATTATTCTGTTGCTACTTCATAACTGTAACTTGCCCACTCTTGTGAACTGTAATATAAATACCTAATATGCAACCCAAGGGGACTGCAATCCACAGGTTGAGAACCACTGCTCTAGATCAATGTTTCAGATAATGTATTTCCTTAACTTAAAAGAAAAACACATCACCCAAATTCAAAGGGGCTCTAGGTCATGGAGAAGAACTTCCCCTGCACTGATAATCAAAATGAGAGCTAACTCTAGCTCACTTCTGATGATGATGATGGCGTGGCATTCCAAGGCACCAAGGTGAGGAACGAACTGAGACCTGATGAAAATTACACTCCGGGCAATGAGGCTGGGTAAAATGGACTCCCCAAGAGTAGCCAGTATGACTTACATCTGGTCAAGAGAGAAGAGAATCCAGAACAGAACAGATCCAGCCACACTTGTAGAAAGACTGAAGAGTGGTTGCTCACACAGCCCACTGGATAGCTCGCCCTTTCTAGGCTTCCAGAACTGCTCCAGTGCAGCGCCATCACAGGGTGACGTAATGACCTATGCAGGTCTCTGTCACTATATAATAGCTAACACCCAGTGGGGGTGCGTGCATACACACGCACAAACGCACGCACGTTAACCAAATGAAAGAATGACCTCTTACACAGTGGCCATAACTCAAAGTTACAACCGGGGCATAGTAAGTATTAGCCATTTGCATGTCGAGGAAAAGTGACAAGGAATGGGCTAGAAGGGAGGGCCCGTAACTAGTCTAAAGACAGAGCACTGTCCATCCTGGAAAAGCTGGACACACAGCTGGACCACAGCTGTTCCATTTTCCTTAGGGAGAGGAGACCTAACTTGGAGCTAAAACGTCTGTTTTGATCACTGTCCAGACTGAAGTGAACTAGGGTTTTCTTCATATTTTGTATGCCAGTTTTTATCTACAAGTCAACTTCTATCTTAAAAACCTATGGAGCTCAGTGGGGCATGCCCATAATCCTAGCACTTGGAGGTAAAGGTGGGAGAGTCATGAGTTCAAGGTCACCCTCAGATACACCCTCAGGAATTGAAGGCCTCCATGGGCTACCTGAGACCATGTCTCAAAATAAATAAATAAATACAAGAAAATATAACCATCCATATGGTTCAACTGCAATTACAGGGTTCCACTCAGAAAGGCTTTCTAATTCACGAGGCACTTGCCTTCAGCACAGAACTTGTCAACTTACTTTTTCCACGTCTAGATCAGCATCCTGTTCTTTCCAAACACTGCAGAAGAAAAAGAAAGACGAACATGAGAAAGAAGAACATTAAAACAGAACCAAATACTTTCTACACGTGAACCACCACCACACAGTTCCCATTTGTTGAAGACAAACTGTCCACAAGTGTCTTCATTCACGTAATTGCTACAGTTACCACAGACACCTGCCTGTAACTGCAAAGTCTGCCACCAAAGGAAAGCCGCATCGGATCTTAGTTTCTAAGGACAGGAAGGGTAAAGGATAGAAACCATGAATGTACAACCATACGCTCGTGCACACACACATTGCTCCGCAGAGTCTCGACAAGTCATCTTGGGCCACATGGGGAATGAGTATTTCGGCTCTATGAGATGGCTCACACCCGCCATCAAAGCACTCAGGAGGCTGAATCAGTGATCAGCCTGGGTCAAGGGAAAGTCTGGCTACAGAATGAGACCCTAATTCAAAGGAAAAGAAAAACCAAACCAAATCTCTCTCCAGGCCTCAGCCCAAATTTCCTCAGTTCTCCTGCTTTGTCAAACTAGGGTGTCTTTTCCTTCTGGAGACACCGTCTCACTCTGTTGTGTAAGCCGGCACTGAACTCAAGATCCTCCTGCTCAGCCCACCACGCACTGAGATTGCAGGCATGGCCACAAAAC